ATTCACTGACTCATTTTTGTTGCAAAAAAAAATTTTTAAAAGCTTGAAAAGTCTTCAGCTTAGAAGTTTGTTTTCAAGTTTTTATTTAGCTTCAATTGATCTGTTGAAGTTTAACGAGACTAAAAATGATATGACTAATACGTTATAATAACATATATTTTTACATTATTTAATGAATCAAACATTTTTTTGTAAGTTATACAAGATTCAACTCATTTTTTTTAAGTCAGATTAATGTAATTTAAGTTGAAATGACTTAAATAGCCAAGTTGATTGTACTTAAAAAAAATCTGTGGATGTAGTCGTGCAGTTAACAATCAATAGAATATAAATCTGTAAGGATGGCTTCATTTTGTGTCAATAAAATAAAAACGTATACAACTTTATTGTGTTTTAGAATAAACATATGAAGTGCATAAAATAAATGAATATATCTCATTGACGTATCAAACAAAAAACAAGACTTTGTGGCATCAAAAAGAGAAATTACGCATGATTAGTTGACATGTAGTTGCAAAGTTACTATAGACAGTCGAATGTCTGTTGAGGAGCATCACAGTAAAGAGTTAGCCGATATTAAGCAGAGTCTACTGATACTCTAATCGCTGCTATTTGAAATGTAGGTGCAACGTTACTTATAGTCAACAGAAGAGCACCATCAAAAAGAGCACCATCAAAATATGGATATAATATAATATCATAAACATGGATTTGAGTTTCTTTTGCTATAAGGAGTCAGAGAACAAGTAAATTCCATATCCAGCCTGGATCTCACGTATGCGTTTACTGAGAGGTCAAAGTTGAAGCGGCGAGTTCTGGCCCTTCGGGAGGCGACGGATCGGGAGAACTCAGTCCACAGGTTTGCTCAGAACCTGCAAAACCTAAAACAAATACTCTGATTAGGAATCTGAGCAGTTCCGAGAGTGATGGAGCTGCTATCTCTACCTATCACTCCAGTTATTTGCGCTCAAAAGACTATAGTTTAGACTGCAAACACTAGTTTAGGTGCAATCCTCCTGATGGAAGGGGGAAGGTCATAGTGGTCAGTTGGTCATAGTGACGGATGTTGTGAGTGTAAATGTTCAGAGAAAGCATTGAAAACAAGCACCAATGAATGATCGTATTTATTTCGTAATATAATGTAAAGCCACTCCATTTACTAAAGGAAAACAATTCAACAAGGAGTCTATCTTTGCTCTTAAAAGAGTCTCTCCGGAGTGTGTTTAGTAAATTAAGGACCCTGGAATTTTCTCATAATTGGCCATTTTATCATTTTGTTACAGGGAGCTTATTCTGAAGGGGTTCCCAATATGATTTATGAAATACAATTAAGCGTGAATTCTTTCAGCGGCTCATTGCTGGGCTGCGCCACGGCGCGTATCTGCCGCACTACACTGAAATAATATGTAAATACCGTTAAGTACTTGGAAAAACAGTGATGAACATGTGACCGAAAAGAGAAAATTGTCAGTGGGCTGTGGATTTATTCCCCCCTCGCAATAAATATTCCAGGGGCTTCCCTCCCATCATCTCTATTTTTAAAGTGGAGAGCGAAACTGTCTCCAACTGATACAGAAACTCATTTCATCGAGTGTGTTCAAAGAGATATGCCTACTGTGGAGATTGAACGCTCTGCACGAGCCAGTTCCTCTTTGTCAAACAAAAGACACTAATGACGTTGATCTCTTTCCAGGCCAAATTGCTTAGTTAAGATTATCACATTTTTGGTTGGTCAGAAAAGGACTGTTAATTTAAATGTACTGTAGCTATAAACAGCATGTTAATATTGCACACAAATAATCAGTGCGAAAAGAATGTAACAATTTCATAGGAATTAAATGACACTTTTTATTTAAGTATAAGTGGAGTTTGCTAAATCCCTGTTAATATTGCTCATACTTATTGACCGTTTCAACTCGTCCTGAACAATCTCTGCTACAGGCATGAATGAAACCTCAAATCAAACGACTGGTTGTGTTCGTTTTCATCTGCCGCTCATAAAGTGGCCAAAGAATCCCATATCTAGAGATTTTGGGGCGAATTCTTTTGACCACTCCCGTTCTCTTCAAACCACGCTATTTTCATAATGATATAAAATGCGTAAAAATATATTTTATGTCATTACATTATTATTTTTTCTTTTCCATTTTCACTTTAATTTTTGTTCAAGTTTTAGTAATTTTGTTGTGTGTTTTTGTCATTTTTATTAGATAGTGGTTTTTATTAAAAGTATTGCTGTCAAATCGATTAATCGCGATTAAACACATCTAACAAAATATTGTGTTTATATAATATGTGTGTGTGTGTGTGTATATATATATATATATATATATATTGGTGTCTGTGTGTATGTATGTACACACACATATATTATATAAACACAATCTTTTATGTTCAATGCGATTAATCGATTTGACAGAATTCATGACAGAAACATTTTCTAAAATGAGAAATGTTGCCTTGGCAACTAGCTGAAATATATGTTTATGGTCAAACTTCAGTTAAAGGTCCAATTCTCACTATTAACTACGACTTTTGCCTCAATAAACTCCTAATTACGTCGTATTAATAGTTAGTAAAGTAGTTGTTAAGTTTAGGTATCGGGTGAATTAAGGGATGTAGAATATGATCATGCAGAATAAGACATTAATATGTGCTTTATAAGTACTAATAAACAGCCAATATCCTAGTAATATACTAGTTATTAGCGAGAGTTGGACCCCAATGTTATCTAGTTTATTAATACATATTTTGAGGTAATGTTTATTTATTTCATGTAACGATTTTTTACGGTTTCGGTTTTGGTTCTCATTGTTTGCATTATTCTAAAAATGGCTACAGTTTTTTTTAGGTTCCTCTGTCTATTAATTAAAATATATTGACAAAACATTGTTTCCCCATCATTCTTTAGCCTTTGAGCGCAACCACACATACACACTCTCGGAAGTCTAGTGACAAAGTGTCGTACATGTTCAACAGCCATCCAAAGGAGAGCAGACAGTTCTAAACTACAGTTTTGTTCACTTTTCTCTCTCTCTTCTTACCCTAAAAATTTGGAGGCAACGCCTTGAGGCTTTCCAGTCCCCATTGTGAGGGCTGCCAGTTCTGTTTGGGCCCATTGTTCTCATCTAATCAGCCGTGGCAAATGTGGAGCCCTCCAGCTCATTACGTATTCGCACTCTGAAGTGACCATGGGAAGTTTTTCGGAGGCCCGGCCCCGGCATGGGCTGATGAATCACCTGCCTAGACGACACCTAGTGAATCCGTGCTGTTGCCGTGGCAGTGCTTTCTGATGGGACCGTCGACTCATCGCTCATCCCGGTGGTCAAACAACCACCCCCTTCCCTACTCCAACAAGCTTGAGTTTCACTATTGGCGTCTCGTCTTTCAGCACCTCTGCCCCCCTTCCACACACTCTACGCTCTGTTTACCGACTCCTGCTAACGATGGCCGCCCTGACGAGCTCATACAAGGGCTGTTGGCAGTGGCGGCCAACATTTATCCTTCGTGCACCAAGACAGAATGTGATACTGAAACTAAAGGATACGATATACCTTAGACTTTCTCAACAAATAAAAGTTAATCTTGTGTAAAAGATCATCTACTACAGCTGTGGTTCTCAACTGGTTGGTTGGGACCTCAAAATGGCTCACAAGCGAAATGCTAAATGCAAACGATGAAATGCAACTAACCACATAATTGTGCATGGTTAGGATAAATAAATGAAAACACTTCCCAAATATTTTGTTGATGGGTTATTGGGTCAGTTAGGTTAATGGATCAATGACATTCAAGAATGTCTAGGAAAACTCTAGTTAAAGTTCATTCAAATGTATCATATTCATGTTGGTTTTATATGATTACATTTATAATATAATTTTCAAGAAGTTATCATAATAACTCTAAAATGGCATGTGGTGTAACCATCAAGTAGAAAGTAATACCATATTTTCCTTAAAACTTAAATACATGTAAATGTACACATAGTCATTATTTTCAAAAGGTTTGTATTTTTTTTCAAGGTATTTTTTGTTGTTGCATAAATATCATGAATTATTAATCCTTAGATTTTAGGGCAGTCACACAACATGACATTCTAAAACCTGAAATAACCTTGATATGTAATAAAAAAGCTCATTATAGAACCTTTATATGGTTTTAAAATTAAGAATTTAATTCTTTCAGTCAGGCTTTTTTCTTCATTGTAATATAAGAACAGTTGTATAACCCTGGCATGTTTTACTCAATAACCCAGAACAATATCTAAATAAATGTTTAATATGGAAATTAAAAACATGCTCATTAAAAGAGGTATAGGTAAGTCATTATATGTGTGAATAATACTTGTAATGTATTTTTGAATAATTTAATAGATATAATAAAAACGTTTAGTCACATCATTGACTTTAATGCCAACATAAGTATACAAACCAGATTTAATTAAATATGGGTTAAATAAAATATGCTTTGTGCTGTCCACAACAGGTTGTGTGGTGAATGATTGGCTTCTGTGAATATATAAATTCAAGAGTCATTTACACTATCAGAAAAAAACAATGTGCAAAATGTGTTCCTTTATGGGTCCAACAGTTTGTGACCAAGGCAGACCCCTTAAAATGACACCTTTGTACCCTTTTTTATCCCTAAACGTTTCATATTAGTTCCTCAGAGGAGTACCCTTCTAGGGGCAGATAAGATACAAATATGTACTGGGACAAGGGGCAAGTTGTTGTACCCCTAAAGGTACAATTTTAGATTGTCTTTCCAGTGTAGAAATAAGTAAATTTTTGCATGATAAACAATGTTGGAACTGTGTGGATCTTCAAATAACCATTTGAGTTATGCTCTAGTTTTAGTCAAATCCCCTGTTCATTTATGGCTCTGGAGGTTGCTGAGGTTGGACAGGTTGTGGGACCGCTGTGACCTTATTTTAGTCAGTAGTAGGGGGCTACGGCTGCCAGTTGTATGGGTTAACATGACAATAATTTGAGCTGACTCACCCATCCCGTTCTCTAATCCCCTGGATATACTGCACTCATACAGGTGTCCACACAATCCAATTATCACCGCCATGCTTGAGTAGAAAAAATACTAGAAAAAAAGAAGAGAGAAAAAGAAGAGGGAAAGATCAAGTCAAACATCGACTGTCATCCAAGTGTGCATGTACAGCGGTATTATTGTAGACTGTAGAGGTGTGTCTATTATTGAACATTTACATGCTTGCCGTAACTTATGAATGAGCAGTCTGATAATCGAGTAGCTAATACGTTTTTCTGCCCTGTGCTTTGAGTAAACCAACTTCCTTTTGAATGCCAGGCTTGTAGCGCACTTTTGTGTACAGGGGAAACTGATATCAACTTCCCTTTCGTTTTATTGCCTCATTTGCATTACTGATATGTGACACTCAACAACACACCAAAACAATGCGGGAGGCACAATAGCAGGTGCATTCATGAAATCTGTGATTTGAGCCAAGAAAAATCTCATCTCCCCATCTCGCAACTCTCAACTTGCAGAGCACCCCTGAAAGCGAAAGTGTCCCCCCACTAAAATAATGGCAGAGGGCTGATTTCAAGCATGTAATGTGCTTTCTTTCTCCTCCTGCTGTTGTTGAAGGAGGGGGCGTGTGTTTCCTTTCCTGTAGGATCCCACTGTTTGCCCCCCATAGGGACAAAGACCCTTAGATAGAGGCTATGCCTTTTGGTACACTCCCCCTTCGAGGACCATGTCTAGGACTGCGGGAGGAAGTGTGAAAGGGCTTCCTGAGCCAGCATCCAGCATGTGGGCCAAAGTCGACTGGAAGACCCTCTCGACAGATGGAGTCAATCCCACTTCCCCCTTGGATTCCATAATCCAACTTTCTCTTACAACACTTCCCTCAACCTTATCCTTGTATTCCTCAACAGTGTGATTCAGGAGTGAAGCTGCTCTCTTTGTTCACGTTTATTCTGACCTTCTGAAGTTAGTAATTTGTCATTAGTGATTTGTGTGTTTGAATTGTGCTTTACTTTATATCTCTCCCATTCTTTGAGCCTTCTTAAACTCATATCCCTGTAAAGTCCAAAGTAAACCAAAGTATCATTAATTATTGGAAAACAATGGGATGTATGGCCCCAATCACAATGGTCCATGGAGAAACATAACAACTGAATAAGCAAATATGAGTCTTAATTGGTCTGTGCTAAACCGCCATGAGCTCAGTTAATGACAGCAAATATCCTTATGGGAGTTCTGTTTGAGTCCCTGCAAAAATGGTATAACTCTGTAAATATAAACCCACGTCTCTCCGGATGAGGTTTAGCTGCTGAGTTACAGCAAGTAAAGTTACTAAAAATATATATTTGTTAAAGTTGCAATGGCTTGCGAAAATTTTGCAGATTATACAGAAGGACATTGTTCCTAGGCTATATGTGCCATTGCACAGGGTCCACTGCTTCAGTTTACAAGGTTAGAAAAAGGAACTTTATAAAGAAGCAAACAGCGGTTAGAAAAGAAAGGAAATAGTTCACAAGGACTTGATACATTCCTAAAAGTTAGTACATGCCCCCCTTAGACAGTTACTGACAGGAAGTTGAGAAGGACACACAATGGCCCAACATGATCCAGCAAAGACACCCCAAATCAACAGGGTTCCTTCTGCTGTCACCCTAGCAATGCATTCAAATGTCAGCATACTCGAGGACACGTGTTCCTCTTGAAGCACCTCTGGAATTCACTTCACTGTACAGAAACATTTGGGGTAGAGGATTGGAGGGCTTCTATTCACGGATTCCTCAATTCATCTAGTTTCTTACATTCTCTCTAGAAGAGCAAATGGAAGAATTCAGTGATGAGGAAGCCATGGTAGGACTCTAAATAATTGAAGTACTAACTTTTTATGATAGGTTAACTAACCAACTTGCTGTGATTATTTTAAAATTCAAACAAAGTTGTTATAACTAATTGCAGCAAAATTTGTTACTGTGATAAATAAATATATATAGCATGAAGAGAATGAAGTCAACTTCCTTTGATTTCTTTATTTGTGTGGAGTGTTTCTATTATTGACAGACAATTGCACGATAATTAATGAGAGGCAATTTAAAAAACGATCAGCATAAGTTGAAGGCAACAGAACAAATAATGTCATGGTGTATAATTACAGTATTTACTATTTGAACAATTATTAAAAGTTAACTACAAATAAATAAGATTTCAAAATGCTTTGCATTTCAGTAATGAGACTTCTTGGGTGGAAATGTGCTTAATTGTCATGAAATGCAAATAAAAAAATCTGTGCCCCTTGACAGATTTGGTCAATTTTACCCTATAAGTTGTATGATCAACTATTGCTGAAAGTAATGAAGACTGACATTAGGGGGAAAAGTTAAGTATCACAACAGCCCTTGAATTGTTTGTTTTCCAGTTTACATAACTGGAACTGGTCTAAAGAAGAAGCTATATCAGTTTTTGCTGTCCCTCTTGAACGCCCTATCTTGACAAAAGCAAGCCCTTGTTTGCTCCCCAAGACAAACCTCTATTGGAATCCCTGTTGAATCACAGAGCGCCCCATAGACAGTTTCGCCTTTTGACAAAGTTTGGGGCTGCAGAGAAAGAGCCGCCTTGTGTGAGGCTTCACAGTACAGCTGGCCTCCTTTCCTCCAGTAGTTTATTAGACACGGGCCTTTAATGAATGGGAGTCGCTGTTACAGTAAGTGACAATTACTCGACTTATCTTGCTCGCCACCAGCGATCTCACATATCCACGGCCATCATAATTCCTGCTATCATAAAGAGGGCTTGTTGGGCACTGGCAGCATCCACAATAGCCGTCCTTCAGAGTCACTTCATGCCATCCCTGACTGTGTGTTCTGGTTTTATTGGGGTACAGTAGCATGAGGCTTCCTTGTGGATGGGCGAAACTTACTGAGGGATGCAAATAAACAGGCCCGAGTAGGGTTAAGCCCTTTACAACTGACATGAGCGGAAACTGCACAGCCCTGGCACGTCTACAGCAGCCATCTCTTGTTTCTAATTGCTTAGAAAAAAGAAAAGGAATGAAACACAACCGGTAAACATTGCAACGGCATGAGTCAATCAGGTCTGGGTAGGTCTCTTGGTCTGCTAGGGTTATCAGAGCTTTCCGTTTTGATATTGTGATACATAGTCGAAATATAATTGTCACTCGGTTTTAACTCTTTCCCCGCCATTGGCAGAATTTCCTGGCTTTCCGTGTTTTCACTGTTATACGGTAGGGGGCGCTATTACACATCTTCTGAAAGAGTACAGCATCTTCCGATCAAAACACAGGCGAAGACGCAGCAGAAACAAGCGATAGAAGTATTGCTTATGCACATTGTAGTCTTTGAAGAAGAAAAAAACTTGACTTTCTCAGCTTTTTGTTCAAAATGTTGCTTTATTTTATCCACACTTATTCAAGCGTAATAAAGCTAGAATAAAACGTTTGATAACACTTTATAGTAAGTATAGTGTAAGAAAGTATTTGCAAATCATTTGTCAAATAGTTAATTAATAGTTTATAAACTGCAGTTAATACATTACTAGACTATATACAAATAGTGAGTTCTTTAATTAAAGTGTTGTTGTTTAATTAGATCATATGTAAAGAGTTAGATAATGCTTTGGTAACAACGGATTAACTTTTAAATAGTTTTCACTTTAGATATGTCACCTAAAATGGGAAAATTACATTAATTAAATACTTTAAACCAAACTTTAATGGACATTAATTGCATTATTATTAAGAGTTAAAATGTTTCACTAAATTTCTGGTGGCCATGAAACTTTTGTGAAACTTATAACAAATGCTGGCGGTGGCTGACAACTTTTAAAAATTTAATTTAATTGAAAAAAACACTGTCGGGGAAAGAGATTGTGTCACAAAAACAAATTCTGTCATTGTTTATCAACCATCATGTTGCTTCAATCTGGTATATGTTATCATGCAAGTATGCAAGTTCATGACTATGTCAAGCTCCAGTAATGACAAATAAACATCATAAAAGCACATGAAACTATTTTTATTATCTAAACATACACTATAAATTGTCTCTAAACAATTTTTGTAAATAGTAACTGAGATTTCAAAGATTTGGCCAAAGTTTACTCTCTTCCTCATACAAAGCTATCGATTGAGTTGCACTGACTACAAATGAAAAAGGATTTACTTTAAAACAATTTTCATTTAGGAATTACTAATTAAATTTCACAAATAAATGGCAAGAAACATTTAATTAAACATGCAAATGTGATGCAGAAAGACTGAAATAGTAAATTCTTTGTTTTATTTACAATTTCAAAATGATCTCTTATGGAAAAGAGCTGCGTAAAGATTCTTCAAACAATCTCTTTCTGTGTTTCATTGTAATAGTAACAGGTTTATATGAGTAAATTTCATTTTTGGCTTAACTAGTCCTGTAAAGCAAACCCTTAATGGATTTGAGGACTGGTTCCTGTATATCTGTGTCTGGTCTGGTGGCATATTAACTGTAATTTCGCGTTCTCACCATTAGAAATCGTCATTGAGTGTGTAATCCTGATTTGCAAGTAAAAACACGAGAGGCTTTGGTGTGTCAGAGCGGCAGTATTAGACAAACAAAGGTGTGTGTCACGTTTGAATGCGCAAATTCTGTTAACGTTTCAACCTGCGGATGAGAAATTAATAAAAGGCACGCATACCCGTCTACGATGACATAACATCTGTTTTTGTTATTTTTTTTACATTATATTTTGAGAGGAATAAAATACTTTGCACTCAAAATTAATTTCTGACACCTTTTGTTTTTCATCATTTTTTTAGCAGTGAATTTGCTTAGATAATGGGACAACAGGGTCCAAATCTCTTTCTTTCAAATTGCATATCTTTTCTTCCTGATAAATGACAAAAAAGCTTTGTAGTTAAAGAGCTTATTGTGAAAAACATATTTAAATGTACTGGTTTTATTTGTCAAAAAAATATTACTTAGTATTCCTGAATCAACCAAACTACGTTAGGTTACACTAATAAAAGTTATTTTAAGTCTGACATATGAAATAATAGTCCGAAAATCACATATAGCGAACATATATCAGTTTTATTCAGAGGCCCAAAC